TTCTAAATATTAGTTCAGTTAAATTAGTGTTTATAGGATTAGTTGAGTCAGGTGAAAGTTCCATAAGGGATTTGATGTGCTGGAAATGTTCACAACAGTTGATGTGGGCGTTGATTTACGAGTTTTCTCGTGTGCTATGCTCTTTAAGACGCGTGTATAGACAGCGGTCTGTTTTAACAATGTAGGTGCTTCGGCAACCTGGACATGAAAATTCATATACAACGGAGCTTTTGTATTCATCCGGTGTGGCGGTGTCTTGTCTTTGCAGGGCAGGAAACAATTGGAGTTCGTGGTTCGCCAGTTTAAAATAAATTTGCACGGACTCTTTAGTAAACGGCGAGTTTTGTTGATGAACTTTTTGGTCAATATATTGCCATATCTGCCAATAAATGGGAGTCTTATCCATATTTTGGGTAGATCATCAGGTGCTGCGCGTTCTGTAAGGTCGACTTTTGGGATGTTATTGCTTCCTTCCGGGTTTGTGTAAAGGCATTAATTAGTTTCTTGGTCAAGTTGCGAGAGAAACGTTCCAGGACATAAAATCTCGTATAGTCTTGAGTTCTAACTTCAATAGTTGATCATTGTTACATATCTTGTATGCGCGGTTGATAAGGGCTCTTATCCATGCTGTTTTGCGCGACCAAGGCGTGAAACTAGAAAGGTGTGTGTATTGACCTGTGTGTGTAGACTTGCGAAAAGTAGTTATGCCCGAGGAGTTAATCTTTAGGTCAAGAAAGTGCACATTGTTGTCAGGGAAATCTTCGAAAGTAAACTGGATTTGAGGGTGGAATGAGTTGAAGGCTTGTAGAATGATTGGGATTTCAGACGGTTTTGCGAGAACTAGCGTACATCATCAACATAGCGGGCGTAAAATTCGAGTCAATTAATTGGCTAATATTTAGGAACTGTGAAATAATTGATAGGTCAGACCACTGGTCTCTGTTGTTATTTAAGGAGTCTCTTGCTATACGCAGACAAAAACCTGATCTTAACCACGGTGCGAAGGCTTCCAAAGAACTTATCATATTTCATTGACCGATTAAGCTCCGCCTTTATTGGCTTTATAATAGCTGCATCTGGAATTTTATACTATTCTTAATCCTGAGGATGACTACAAACTAGTCGAAACGTCGATTAAAAATCAAAATGTTTTTCGGAGTTACTGTTATTTTGTATTTTCTTAAAATACTGAGTGGTTCCCGTAACTCTATCTATATGGTATTCAGGTATTGAGCACTTTTTGTGTTTCGTAAACCAAAAACGTAAGCTATATATATATATATATATATATATATATATATATATATATATATATATATATATATATATATATATATATATATATATATATAGCACAAACGAGCACAAAGAGAAATAAGATGTAGCGAGCATCGTCCAAAGACGAACTTAAAAAGGGATATCTGCAAAGCCAACTGATTGTAATTAAGTAAAATGGGGTTTTTGCACCCATATGGATATGAAATGTAAGATATGTAAAATTTATAGTTACGCGAATCAGCGTTTTAGACCGAGAATCCTTAGTGAGCATCGTGTAATATGAGAGGTATGTAATTTCACGACTGGCTGCTTTATGAAAATAAGAAAAACGAACTCTCAACAAACAGTTCCAGTTTATAATCAGACAAGGACAGATTATAGTGATATCCATGCATACGTGATGAACATTGAATAAATTTTTATTAAATTTGCAGATATTTACAGGCAATACCGAAATAGATACGGTGGTGGAACAACATCTATCACATCTTGTATTTGCTCGGTTTTTGCGCATTATTCCCGACATATGGTTCGGCGTTCCTGCAATACGGATGGAGGTTACTGGCTCGTATATACTAAGTGAGCATTTTGATTATGCTATCATCAATATGCAATGGATTGATTGTACACTGTATGTAAACAAGTGAAAAGAATTTTAAGATTTAAGATTGTTGAGAACGCAGGGTTCACTGGCCATGTACGTTTTTATATGCCTAAACCCCAGTTTTTGTACTCTTAATCTTAGCTGGAGAATAACCGCAATGACGAATTATATGTGCTGAACAGTGAAAAACGTTAGAATTCTTTTTCGCTTCGAGCTATGATTTTAGGGAAGCAATCATTACCAGAAATATGGGACATTTTGCTCCCGCTTTTGTAGTCAGCGGCTAAGTCCGTTTTATATGCCCAACATTGCCTAATATAAGTAATTCGACTTCGCATTTTACTTTGAATCTCCAGTTCAAGTATTATTCAACCAAAAACTGTGATTTTAAACCAAATTTTGCAGTTTTTGCTGATCACTTCCGGTATTTCGACCTTTAACCCCGCAAATTTTTATCAAGACTAAAAATATTGCAAATATCCTAAAAAATCCTAAAATATTCCTGTGTTTTTACGTGAGAGCCTGGGATCTAGTCCTTCCAAATAAACAAGAAACATGGCTGCTCGAAACAGCTCAAATTTGTATTAAAACTTGTCGTTTTTGGATATTAAGATGGCTTAATGGCGACATACAAGAACCGTAAAGAGGCGAACTTTTAAACGTTTCGGGAACCAGTTTCCCTGGAAATTACAGCAGATTTATTTAGCTAAATTAACAGTTTGGACATCATTAAATATATCGCGAGCTCCGCACTTTACATCGTCCGAATGGATGTTGGTCTATTCGTCGGATATTTACCTCTTGTGTCACAAGTTTACTATAAATTACACTATGAAATTCATCGAATTGCGTGTAAAAATACAACATTCTCAGGAACCTGCTAGACGCGGTGCAATACTAGCGATTTTTGTTTAGAAATATTGCTTGTTCGTGTCGCTACTATAATCGAGCTTCGCAACCATGAAATATTTAAACAAAGTATATTAAAATTTGATATTTTGATCAACTCCCATATAGTTTATAGTAATATTTGGTCGCCATATTTGGTCAAAGTGCGCATGTCCGTCGCCATCTTGTCCCATATTTCTGGTAATGTGATTTTAGGTACAATTTTGAAGGCTATACGATTCGATTATCAGCATCCCTCGATCCAACCTTGTACTCAGGGTCTTTCCTCTTGGGGAGACAAGACCCTGATAGACGCTGGTCACGTGATCTGCTAAAATCTAGCAGATTTCTAATTAACTATCTTGGGGTTTTTTACGACAATCATCAAAATAATCCAAATATCAAATGTTTATTGACCTGATCTTGAATTGCTGATTAAGAATCAACTATAGATTTTAGCAGATCACGTGACCAGCGTCTACCAGGGTCTTTGCTCCCCAAGAGGAAAGTCCCTGGGTACGAGGTTTGCCACGATTAGCAACATGAACAATTACCATTTGTTTCATTGACCAAACTTACACCAGGACAAACAGGATTTAACTTTCGATATTTTTTGCCTGATTCTGTTTTTTTAATTAAAAAAATTGAAATGTCCCTGCACAAATTAAAGATGATGCACGCTTGCGCACGTTATATTTACCTGCACTGCGCCTGAACTTTAGATTACTATTGCATCTAAGGACGTAAACGAGCTTATATTCAGTGTAAAATTTGCATAGACAAAAATCTCAACTTTGATTGGTTACATAAAGGCTATGTGCTAATAAGGTACATAATAGCGACATACGTGGAGATTTTACGGTTAGATGGACAGATAAAAATAATTATATCAGTATAGATATATAATTATGTAGTTATAAACTGATATTGAAAGTATAGACTATCCACATACGTCGCCCATATCACCTGGTGTTTACATCACGTATGATTTAAAAGAACATGCATGTCACAAAGCTCGGCGTACAATTATAATGTTCAAACATTGTTGTGCCTGGACAAAATTCCATTCGCATTACACGTTGCATAAAACAAATTTGCATGAATAGGTAAACTTTAAACAGAACCGTCAGTTAAAGAATAAAAGAATGTTCATATACGCTTCAAACACTCATTAATAATCCATAAGCTTATTGGCAAATCATGTCAACCATAATATGCACGTGCAGTGGCTTTAAAACATAATATGTCACGTGCAGTGGCTTTAAACCTGTCACGTGCAGTGGCTTTAAGGCAGTATCTATTGTAGTCGTGTCCTCATTAGTATTTTTTATATAAAGAATACTAATAAGGCAGTATAACTTATATATGAGCTTCTATACTCCTAGACTAAGAGTGGCAAGACAAGCCCGAAGATTAATTCATCAAGCTGAACGATGAATGCTTTCGCGAAATGTACAATTTTGACAACAGCACGCTACTGAAGTATAGGTTTTCTATCTACAGTATACAAATGTTTATTTCTAGTAATACATGGGTGTATTAAAAAAATGTACACCTTTTCAAATTCAAATTATCCATAACCTTTTAAATATTCGTTGCTCTGCAGTAAGCTGGCCCATTTTATATCTTATGCAGACTTGAATAATGCTTAATTTAAACATTTTCCTTTGAATTTTGTATTTGTTCATACAAATTATTAAATAGAAGCATTTCATTTTTTCGAGAAATTATACGGCTGTCATATTATTAAACTATAGGTAAATTAATTTGAATTTGAAAGGGTGTACATATATATTCAGGGTGTACATATACACCTTAAGGGTGTACATATACACCTTGTAGTAAAGACTAAAAAAAATCACATTGGGCAGATTACAGTGGGTTGCGAGCATCATCTGTCAAAATGACTATATACAGCTAGGGTGCATGTATCAAAAAAATGTACGCCTTTCAAATTTCAAGCCGCAACAAGTGCAACTTCAAAATGAGTTCAGCAGAACTCTTCCCAATAATCATAAAACCCATCTCTTCAATTTCTAAGACTGTATTAAATTGATACGATTGATAATATACGACGAATTATCTTTGCTACCATTTATTTGAAGGAATTTGTTTTGGTCGTCGTCGTTGCGTTGCCGTCCTAAAATCGTAAGGTTTCTAACGAGGCTTTGCGTCCTTAGATGCATGCACATTATTATTATTATTAGCTCCCGCAATTGACTATATCTACATGATTAACTTTCTTTCGGCTACTGTAGATACAGATTGGTTTCAACCAGTTTCTCTGGGTATTGAGGACAATCTGATCCTGGATTCTCAAATGGCCATTTCATCGTATTACTCCACATCTGGAGCGGGGAATGCTAGACTGAACTTAAAAACACTACATGAAAATGTAGACACGAACACAACAGTTATAGTCAGATATGGTGGTTGGATAGCGGCAGAAGACGACAATGACCCTTGGTTTCAGGTTGATTTCATAGCAAATGCAACAATCAGTTCGATATTTACTCAAGGCTTGGAGAATGAAACTTTCTGGGTCACCAAATATTCCGTTGCTTTTGGATATAATAGAGACAGGTTGCAAAATTACAGTATAAATGGACAAGTGAAGGTAACGATTATTGTAGGTCTGTTAAAACGTTTGCATCCTATAGTGTATTATAATGGTCTCTTCGTATATATAAAAGCTGTATTATTATATTCTGCATAACTTATACTCAGGTCGGAGTGTACCAGTCCAAAAAATTGTACGACTTTTTGGGAATTTCGAGAATCTCTTTGGTTTATTCGGGGTTATGGGTATTTTCGAAATTTTATCGGGATTTTTTTGAGGGTATTTGTAAAGATGTTTAGAGATTTTATAGGGATCTTTTAGGGATTTTCGGGGGAGATGTGGATAAGATGTGAAACCTCGTTTGGACTATAAAGTGAAGCAAGGAAATATATTTTAGAAATCTGTTTTAGCCCTCACAAGGTTTAACTGTGCTTGATGGCAAGTGCAGTGCTAAATGTATAGTGTGATTATTTGAACAATTTGGAAACAATTTCACTCTGTTTATTGTCGTCATATACACCATAATTACTCCTGTTTTTTTAGTCTTGTATTGTTTGATTGCGTTAATGCTTTTGTACTGTAAGTATAATGATATATAATAAACGAACCAAGCTCTTTCCCACATATTTTGATCGAGGTATTTTATACGCTGGTAATAAACCGCCGGCTTTCGGGTTTGTTATATTACTTTTCAGACGGACTTGTACGAGAAATTCAAGGCGATGCTTGAATTAATTTATTGGCGTTTATTGCCATGGTATCGATCAAGACAACGATTCGGGGCTAGTTTCCTTTGTGTTTTATCATTAATTATTCTAAAATGAATGTGAGTATTTACTTGAAAAACACATCGTTACCTTTCCAGATATGTCACCAAATTTCATCCTCAATAATACATCAGCCCTTCAGCAGCTGTTAATTTTATGCATGAGTTATTTTGTGCAATTGGGTGTCCATTATTTTTAAAATAATCGTATAAACATGTTTTTACAACAGGTATTTTCAGCGAACTTTAACCACAGTACAATGGTAAAAAATGATGTTTACCCACACATTTTGTCTCGTATTCTTCGAATCATGCCAAAAGAATGGATTGGATATTGTGTTTTGAGGGTGGAATTTTATGGTCAGTACGAAGGTGAGAGACTGCTATCATTACACCGTTAGTTACTAGTTACTCATAACGATAAAACGAGCTACCATATGTGTATGAACCAGCGACCAATAAAACGTAAAGATATGTATGTGGGCGAATTTGGCAGCAAATTAAATCACACGCGCATTCAGTACAGAAATTGGAATATGCATAATCATTCATTATCGTCCAAAGCTATTCAGCATCAAGAAATAAACATACAATAGCATGGATCCCATATCAATACAAATCTAGAGATTATAGACATCTGAGGCCAGGGTCTAAAGCCTGTTTTCCACTAGGCGGAATTTTGCACGCGGAGCGGAATTTTTCTTTGTCTTGTGATTTCTCGGGTGGAACTAATTAGGAAAGACAAAGAAAAATTCCGCTCCGCGCGCAAAATTCCGCCTAGTGGAAAACCGGTTTAATTAACGTCAAACTTTTCATGCGCCGAACCTAATGTTAATGAGCTAAGTTCTTTGTTTCACTTCATTTGCATTAGTAAGCGCATGAAAAGCTCGACGTTTGACCCTGGCCTGAGTCAGGATGTATTCATTCGAATGAAAACGTTTATTAACATTGTTAAGCACCAACAGGCGAACAATAAATGAATGTATAATCATTACAATGGTCTTTATTGCCAACTGTGTGCTTCTAATATAACAATGGAATTCATATCAAGTTCATTTAACACAAATATCTTTTCAACTAAACACTACCAAAATTGGCATGGATGCAGGTGATGGAATATTCCTAACACGCAGTGTAGAGACAAGAAAGGGATTAAATCCAGATCCTGTTATCTTCATATACTATGACGGCGCATCAGCACACACATGTCCAGCACTGCCGCATAGATACGGGTTGTACGAGTTGTAAAATCGTCATTATCAAGACCCTCTCTCCTCCGCAGAGGCTTTAGTTTTCTTAGGATTTAATTTAATATTACGATGAGATACATTTCACTACACTTTACATGGCGGATCTTGGAACACGAGCTTAGCCGCTGGGCGACTCTGCGGAGGAGAGAGATCAAGACCTTAGTTTCTACACAATGCTCTCAAATTGATACGGCTCGTACAGGTCGTGTAATTCGCAGAGGCGCCGGCTGTAAAAAAAACGATTTCAAAAGAAATTAATTGGGCAGAACACGAATATATGAATACCTGCCCCAATTATCGACATTCCGGCGCCTCTGGCAATTCGTTATTTGATACGAGTTTCGTTGTAACTGCTATCGCGTGGCGTGCGCGCGTGTGCGTCGCGAACTTTAGATCACGTGACTGTCCTCGAGGTCTAGAAATATTTACTTAGAACAAGAAGACATTTTATATTTACGAAGACTTTAAAATGTGATTTATAGCATGATATAAAGGATGTAAGAAATCTACGGTTTGCCCGGAACCGTAGTTTACCTTTTCTTTTACTTTCTATTAAAGTTACGAGTTAAAACAACGTTTTTGTGGGCATGTTATTTGCGTGAAACGACAAGAACATTATAGTAAACAACGAAGGGACTTTCAAAATATGTGTTATTTCAAAAACTGAGAAAGAACCCAAGCGAAATTTCGAATGAAATATAACAAAATGGCTTCAAAGACACAAAGCAATGAACCAGAAACACAACTGGTAGAGGACGAAGCTCCATTGGAATTAAAAGACGGGTTAGGAACAAGTCTGATACCCGAACAAGCTGTCTGTGTCGCAGACAAACAAGAGGACCAATGGAGTGTAGGTAGTTTGGAGTCACAAGGATAACAGCTCGACCTCGAACAAGAAAGGCTGTCTCGGCGAGCCTGGAGAACCTCAGAAAGAAACGAAATCGTGCAGGTGAGGCTGTGAAAGCCAGAATTAGTCGTATAGACCAATTATTGCTAGAACAATGTTCTGACATAGTGAAATTAACAGCCAGCAAGGATGGCTTGAACATGGATATGGATAATCTAAAACGCTTTCATAACGAAATATCTGACTTATTAATGCTTAATTCGGAAAATGAATTTCCTAATGAAGACCATGAATATTTTGATAGTATTTGTGATAATTACTTGGACTGTTGTGCAGATGTTAAGACAAAAATTAACGATTTAACACAAGAAAGATTTGAAATGCTGACACAAAGATCTCACAAATCTAGTACAAAGAGCTCTATCTCTAAATTATCCAAAGTCTCTTCAATATCATCGAGACAAGCTGCAGCAAATGCCGCAGGACTTAAGCAAAGGATGACTAGCCTGATAAGGCAGCAAGAATTGGAGAGAAAGAAAGAAGAATTACAACTTCTTCAAAGAGAGTTGGAACGACAAGGAGAGCAAGAAAGGCTACAAGGTGAGATTAATGCTGTTGTAGCAATACATGATTCATTTGTAGAAGACACAAAGTTACCTTGCAACAATTATCCTAGTATACCCCCAGGCTATCCACAATCACCCAAGTATATCCCCACCTATCCACGATCACCCAAGTATACCCCCACCTATCCACGATCACTCAAGTATACCCCACCTATCCACGATCACCCAAGTATACCCCCACCCAACCACGATCACCCAAGTATATCCCCACCTATCCACGATCACCCAAGTATATCCCCACCTATCCACGATCACCCAAGTATATCCCCACCTATCCACGATCATCCAAGTATACCCCCACCTTTCCACGATCACCCAAGTATACCCCCATCTAACCATGATCACCCGAGTACACATACCCATAATTATCAAGGTATGTCCCCACCTATCCATGATCACCCAAGTATACCCCCACCTATCCACGATTACCCAAGTATATCCCCACCTATCCACGATCACCCAAGTATACCCCCACCTATCCACGATCACTCAAGTATACCCCACCTATCCACGATTACCCAAGTATACCCCCACCTATCCACAATCACCCAAGTATATCCCCACCTATCCACGATCACC